AAACTGCAGCAGCTTAATGCTTTCATTGTGTGAAGGGGATATATGCTAATTTGAAGTCTATTTCCCATCAGAACCCCTTTCGGTCATATCATAGTTGAGATATGAATGATGATAAAAGGGGGAAGTATAGAGAGGCCTATATTATGGGAGGATTGCTCTTCTATTATTATGACTTGGGAATAGAGCTGAGGAATTCAGTCAACCATGAGGACTTGTTGGCTATTTAGGGCTGAGTGAGTTTGCATGGGTTAAGTCTGTTTGCCCTCTCCAACTGATTTTTGTGGTAATTATTATCTCTTTGGGAGCCTCTTCACGTATTACTCTTCACATATTACTCTTCACATAATTGTGTAAAAGTGACAAGGTATTATGAACAGCCCCACTTTGATACTCTCAAATAAACTAATTCACAAGCCAATAGCAAAACAGGAGTAGCTACAAAAATGAGGTTGTATTCCCAATTCTGCTTAGTTGGAAGTGTCAAAGAAAGATATGAGTTTTGAACGTCATGATATGGTATCCATTTGTTTTATCCATTTATGCGTCAGAAACTGACACAGAAGTAAATGAGCTACATAAGGAGGATATTTCTTCAAGTCAAGCAGGAAACCTAATTGATTATAGGGAGAAAAAACCAACATCTATTGAGCAGAAAAGTACAACTTATATGGTACAGTAGTTATTAATGGGCAGTGAATATTAAGAAACTTCTAGAAATGTTGCCTTGCTTCTTTGGATGTTTGAAAATGATACATCATACATGGGCTTGATATTTGATAAAATTGATAGTTCCAAATCTTCCTTTAATTAGGAGATTTTATTTTCACATTTTTGGGTAAAAGAATTGTCATATTATTTCCCCTCCATTATTACAAAAATGGTCAACTAAATTAAGATACAATGTATTTGTGGTGGCCTTTGTTATTAAGAGCAGATCTATCTATTGGCCTTTGATGCTTTGGAAAGAGAGGTGTTTGGGTTTTTTTCAATTTGTGCCTCAAGAAATTTCAAGAGTATTTACAGATCCATGTGGGAGAAAACTGGCATGTAGAGGGGCTTGGAAGTGAGGTAGTGTCTTATCTTGCTTCCCAGAAGTTTGAATGAATAAGGATTTTTTTTTAAAAAAAAGAGGCAATGGGAGTATTTTATGCTTCTTTTACAAAAATATTAAATGTCCAATTTTAACAATAAAAATGTATGGCTGTCCTTAACCTCAGCTTTAATACAGGACTTCTGCCAGTCAAACCACAAAGGATTTTATTTATTAGTGCAAGATTTTAATCTGTTTGCAATCTTATCAAAAACAGTAAGACCACATCTACATGAGCCACCAGTGAATCAGCACCCTGCCTGCAATTTCCCATGCCACCCCTTCTCTTTTCATCAGATGAACCAATTTATTGCCAGATCAATGCATCTCAAATCAGATTTAAAGCAATTTTCTTTTATAGTGTGGTTAATCTGAGAGGGGGCAGGTTTTCCACTGGATGGAACTCCAGCATCACCCCGCTTCCCTTAGACTCAGTGCTGATGGCCCTGGCGAAGGGGAAGGCCTTCTCATCCCCAAGAGGCAGCCAGGACTACTTTCCCTGCTGTGCCCTGCCCGAGCCCAGCCCCAGAGCTGCCCTCTGCGAGAGTCAGGATGCCTTTTGAGGCTTGCCCTCTGATCCTGCCTTTCATCCCTCACCTATTTCTCGGCCCTGCCCACCATGCACCTCACTCACATACCTCGGGGTCCTGCAGCCAGGTCACCCCTTCCCACTCCACTATCTGTCTCACCTTGTCTCACCCCATGGCGACACCGGCAGAAGCAGCAGAAATCCTGTCCAGCAGGATCCTCATTGCCCCTCCACTCTCCTCCAGCCCTGGAAGCCCAGCCTGGCCAAGGAGAGCGAGCATAGCAGCAGCAGCCTCAAGGAGGAGGTAAATGCAGCTGGGTGCCCCCTTGGGGAAATGGAGCTGAGCTGTGGTATCCCAGTACCCTGGGAGCTTGAGGGCACAGCTGGGCAGTTACCCTTTGCTGCCTAAGGCTCTAGGTAGCCCAAGGGACCGTCAACACTAACTGGATGCTCAGATTGTCCTCTGGGTGGATCCATGCATTAGGCCATGGTGTTCCGTCAGCCCTGTGTCCCAGGGCTCGGGGCACAGTCGTCCTTCTCTACGGGTGCTCATGTGTCACCAGATGCCCAGCTTTTCCAGGCCATGGCTTCACATCTGGTGTGAATGCTGCAATCCCTTCTCCAGCCCTGCCACGCAGCAGAGAGGGTAACTCAGAACTGACCCCCCCCCCAAATGCTCAGCTCCTGCTGACCCATGCTCATGTCTCCCTGCCTTTTGTCCTATGGCCCATCCCGGCTCTCGAGCTCTCGGGGCACCGGGACCCTGCAGCCCAGTCCCATTTTCCTGAGGGGGCACCTGGCCATGCTTATCTCCTCAAGACTACAGCTGCTGCGCTCACTCTTCTTGGGGGACAGTGAGGCTTCTCTGGTAGATGACACTTTGGTGCTTGCCCTGGTCTTGCCTTCCTCCACTGGAGACCTCCAGATCCCCCCTTCCAGCCTTGCCTGGCCCCCCACAGGCACTCTTCAACATGAGCAATGTCAAGCTGGCCATATCTATTTGGCCATGTTGAGTTGGCCACACCCACCCAGCCATGTCCACCTGGCTCTTTGAGGGCAACCATAATGCTGTTAAGGCCCTCAATGAAATTGAGTTTGATGCCCCTGGCATAGGATAATAACCACATTACTGAACAGAGGTTGTGTCAATCCAGGATCATTTGTTAGATATGAAGCTCACTGGGTGATATCAGCTGGTATCATACATGTCTTTCTCATTTTCATTCTTTCTGCGCTCAAGGTAATAACATGAAAAGATAGAATTATGCAAGTCACTGAAGGAAAGAAGGAAGGGAGGGAGGGAGAAAGGAAGTTGCTATAGGGTTATTTATCTCTAGGATACAGAGCAAAAGGTGTTCTAATAAAAGAAATGTGTATTCATGCACGTAATGTTAATGTGATACATGTATTTATATTTCACAGTATTTATAATGATCTAATCTTGAAGGAATCTGGGTTTATAAATCTGTACCATTTTTGATAGGTTTATTCATTTCTTATTTTCACCAATACTTCAGAATTGTCCAACTTTGCCTTGCTATTATCATGAAGTGGCTTATTATTCTCCCTATCTGATCCCTATCTCTCTGGTAAATCTATATGACAAGGTAGATTACATACTATTCAGTTTTAAAAGCCTACATGCCATCTCTGAGTGTTGATATTGGCATTATTATAGCTTTAGGAATAGGCCTTCAGTTCTAATCAACCACTGCACACTCAGATATGTTCACCAACATGTGTGTATATGTGCAAATGTTCTAGTATCCTGAATTGTTCTCTGGAAAAGGTGCTCACTATCAATGGAAACTAAATGCTTAATTTTATATCAAAGGCAACATTTGTGAAGATATATGATTTACGTATAAATGATCCTGTAACAGTGCCACACAAAGCACATTTGTTATTTTAAATAACTGCATTTTTAAACATGTAGAGATATTCCGATTCTTTTCTTTGATTAACATTTAGTTTTGATTGTGACTTATTTTTCATGACTTATTCAAGACTTATTTTTATTCTTCAGTATTCAGATTATTGTGGTTTGATTATGTTTCATCTATGCCAGGGGTGTCAAACTCGCAATGTCACGTGATGTGTTGCAATGTATCGCAACTTTTTTGCCATTGCTGGCAATGGGGTGGGTGCAGTTTCGCTATGATGCATCTGGCCCATGGGCCACCAGTTTGACATCCCTGACCTATGCCATTCTCTCCATTGGGGATGCGACCACTTACTTCAAGCTAGACCTGTTAGCACCATGTGGGGCTTTAAAGTGCTAGATCTGTCTTTTTTATAATAAAGTTTGAGTTTGAAAATCAAAATAAAATTTGTTAAAGTGCAATTGTCATAAAAAGGCTACAGTAGAATAAATCAATAAATTGTATTGTTTAGTTAATGTGATGGTTTGCTTTGCTTAATAAGTGATATTATAAACTTGCAAATATATTGATTCTTGAAATGGAAAATATAATTTCGTGTGTTCTATCTATTTCAGTGAATTTTTAAAGAGAACATTTCTTCATGGACTCAAGTGCTTTCCTAGAACCTAAGAAAAAAGGAAAATCTGTGGATTCAGTGGTCTTTCTCCAGTAATTTGGAAATATCTACCTCAAAACAGAGTTGTTTCAAACTGAAAACTTCCAAAATGATTGAAACATCATTGAAACCACTGGTTTGAATGGCTTTGCATCCAGTATCTATCTTTAAAGCATATCATTTTTACTTTACTTTGTAAGTGTAGTTTATTATTTTCTGAGAACAGTGTTGAACATTTAGATGAAAAAAGCATATGGCACAGGTTTTATGCCAAAATTTAACAAGAAAGATTCTCTCTAATGCATACACTTATTATGAGCTTAAGTCTCTGGAAATACTCAATCAGTGTGGCAATAAAGAATGCCAAAAGGTAGTCCCAATATGTGTCTAAAACTTATTCTTATCAAAGGTAAAATATATGTAATGGTTTTTCAGTTTCTGGAAAGTATAAAATACATAAGCAAACAAAGAAAATATTTTGATTTAAAGGAACATATAGATAACTTCTATTATATTATAATATATTTATTCAGCTTCTACTAAAATCTGGATGTAGCTGGGCATTGTACCTTAGAAAACTAGTTAACTTTTTAAAATTATTATTTACTTTAAAATCTAAGATGATGAGCACAGCATCTCAGTTATTTTTAAAACCATCCTGTCATCTTCTAAGGCTTTAAGAATGAGATGACCCATTGGGAACCAGAGGTTGAGATGTTACGTATCTCATTTAGTCTCACCTGCACATGTGTGTATCTGTCTGTACTTATGAAACAATGTTTAATTGCTCCAGGTTGCTGACTGGCACAATGATGGCTTATCTATTGGGGAGGGGGGTTATCATTTCCAAAAATTGAATTAAAAATCCTACATCCATGAAATTAAAAGTTAACATATAAATGGGCACATTCCAGGTTTTATGTAAAACCATTGAGCATATGGAATAAATCAAAATGCAAACATTATCTTGCAGTCCTGCAGGACAAAGTGCCTTGTTTGATGCTATGGAGCCTCCCTAGAGATGGTGCAGAAAATGGGCTTGGGTGATTGCTGAGTAATCCAGCAGGAGGGGTTCCATTCATTCCCTCAGATGCAGCCCTTTTTGGTTGTCACAAATCTATTCTTCACTAAAGAATTGATTTAACAGGCATAGGGAGAAGCGGAGAATGGGGAGCATGTGAAAGAAAAGGAAGCTAACTGATCCTTCATGTTTCCTTTACAAATGTGTGGAGGGAAAGGAGACAATCAAGCACAGAACTGGGGTCTCTGACGTATAGCTGAGTGCTTCCAGCAGAGATCTTTATAGACCAGTAGGCAGATCGAGACTGAAGCTGACCAGACTTTGTGCATCTTGGAAAAGAGAACTATCTACTATAGTGAGAAACGAAGTCACTCAATTATTGCAATAGCAAAGAAGTGACAGAAGGAAAGGAGGAAGGAAGACTGTACTGGGGACAGGAGCGAAAGCATTTTTGGTGGATGGTATAAAGCCAGCCATGGAAACTGCAGTGGAGGAAAATAGAGAACAAAGGCAAGAGAAAAAAGGTACCCAGAAGTCAAAACAATAGACTGTTTAAATCTTTTTAAGCGCCTCCAGTTCTGAAAAGATTGAGGCTGTGTTTGATGCTCTCTCTTTAGAGCCCTGCTTAAATGATCATTTGTTGTATCTTTCAGTTTCTGTGTTCTGCAGGGCTTGATAGCTGATTAATGGAACTGTTACCTATTACTTCAGCTCTGTATTATTTTCAGTTCTTCTCATTTCCACAAAAATTCAGTTTGCAGAAGAATAGCGAGGTATATGGATGTGCCTTATGCGTATGATTTGAATCTGTATGATTTAAATCAGTGTGAAGCTTTGTACCAACATGGGTTTGATATGAGGCTCTATGGGGTCTGTCTTTCATTAGACAGCATCTAGTTATATCTTGCATTTCTCTAACATACAGGGAGAGATTGGTGAACACATTTGCTGCAAATAAGAAACAACACCATATTTGAAAGAAATGTTCCAAAATAGATTTGTAGAGTTCAGAATGGCAGGGTGGCAAGTGAGAATGAATTTGAATATTGCTGGTGATATATTGTTCTGAAAGATTCATACACATCAAAATTGGCAAGTTTTGTAATGCTTTGTTTAATTAACCATTTCTTATACTCAGGTTATGCACAATACTGCTGAAAATATTATTGACGTGTAATTGTCACCAAAGCTATTGACTTGAAAGGGAATGAATATAGATAGAGGATTGCATTTAATGGTAATAGGTTGTCTTGTATGATATGGCTTTTAGCCCATTTGAGTATTATTTATTATTAGTAACATTTTAGTTTTTGTTTTGTAACCACTAATTTAATATCTGAATAATACAGATTTGAAACAACTAAAATAAATATGTTAATTAAATAATTTAACTGTATAGAGATCTGTTCTGCAAATTAATTTCCTCTTTTTACAGTAATTAATTTCTAGCTACAAGAAGGGTTTCTAAGTTGAATAAAATAAATTTTTCAAACAGCTAGAGCATCCGCATCATCCTCTAGAGAAATTATCTAAAATTTAAAATGCTAAAAGCTTAAAATCTGGAAAAAATTATCCATTTTCCACACCAGTAATCAGCAACACTGAACGTTTTTTTAAAAATACAACATTGTTTTAAAAGATGCTTTAAAAACCTAAATAGCTTTTAATTCTCCACAGCTCATTTTTTAAAACTGAGTTTATAAATAGCTGTCAGTTACAGTTACTTTTGCATATGGGAATTGAATCAGTGGTGTGCTTCATAAGTCATGAATTTGTTTTTCACAGATTAATAAAATTTAAACAATTTATAATTGAACATTTCTATTATAAATAGCTGATCCAGGATATACCTGAAATTAATTATAGTTGCTTAACCAGGCTTTGACGTCCTGATAATTTTTCATTTAATTTCTTTACTGAAATTGTGAAGATTTTCCTCCAGATTTGATTTGTAGTATGCATTCAGTGATCTTTATGAATGTTACTATGTAGTGATGTTTAAACAATTATTTCCCAAATTCATTAATGTTTTTCCAGTAAGTATTATAAGCTATAGATAAATATAACTACCTTTTTAATTATCAACATTGTTGATAATTAATTTTTAAATTTAAAAAAGGTAATTTTTTATCTTTTTAAGGTATAATTCTTTTTTAAAAAATTGAGCTTTGATGTAGTTTATACATATTTTTTCATTTGATTAGCTTTATAATAGTGAAATTATTAATGCAATTGTCAGCACTAAATAAGGCATCAATATATTTAATTTAACTTTTAAAAAGTTTGGCCCATTATACCCATCCATTTATATACTGATAATATTTGGAAGTCCTTAGGATGTGATTAAAAATATTTTGGATGGGAATGTGTTCCACTTATTTCTACTATTGAATATAATAAAATTCTAAACTAGAAGTTCTAGAGGACATTAGTTTGCCCCTGTGGGATATCTTTGTTTAAATCAGAGATATATTCAAATCTATGTTCTTATTTATTTTATTTTATTTTTCCGCATTGCATTTTGATGAAAAGCTAAAGATTGCCATTATAGACAGAAAATGTCTTCAATATACAGCATACAAACGACATTTAGATTGCTGTGAAATTAACATAAACCATTAATCAAAATTGACTGAATCTTATTGTAGGCTAGTGGGAAAAAAATGAAGGAAACCATTAAAACAACTTCCTTTGGGCAATACACAGTCATAATATACACACAGAGTTGTAATATCCTTAAAATATCTGTTTCTCTCAAGATGAGCTGTTCTGACACCTAACTTCATTTTAATTGGAGAATCTGCATGGCATTTATGTTAATATAATGATGCATTCTGAAACATAAGAGCATCTTGTAAGGAATAAGTTATTCATGTAATTGTTTAACAGATATTTTACAGAGCTGTGAAAGTGATTGATTGCATTTAAAGCCAAAAATGTATAAATTATTTTAAATGACAGCATTTATCTTGCAAGCATTAAATTAAATAAAAAACGGAAGCTGAGAATATAGAGATTTATTGAGATTGAATAAATCAGTAATGCATGTCACTTTCTATCAGTATTAGAGAATGTATACCCTGATGTATATTAGCACAGACAAGATATTTTCATTTAACGTGGGGAAAAAGTTGTAAAATGCCACAGACATTTATTCTAGATGTCTAGAGAAAAGGTTAGTGAATTAAAAAAACAAATCAGAAGTACTGCTGCATGTATAATATGTTTAGTTTACAAAGGAACTGAACAAAATTTCTACTACTTTGTGGACCTATTTGGGAGTAAGCTCTGTTAATATCAGTGGTGTCTACTTTTGAGTAAATATACAAAATATTTCACTATATGAGAGGTGAAAGCTAATAAATATTTGAAGTTTGGTCACGGTAAGAAAGAATTAGAGATGTCAGATGAAAATCTTACTTCTACTTGAATAAAATTGAAATAGTAATAATGTATATTAAGAAAGTATTAATATTTAATTGTAAGAGTTTTTTTATAAAAAGTAAGTTATACTACAATAGACTTACAACAGTTACATAACATTTTATTCCTTTTAGGAGAAACCACTGAATAGGGGTAGCATCCTTGACATGGCCATTTTGTCTTCTCCAGGAAGTTCAGAATAGTGTTATTCTAATATTCAAGGATTTTTTTTAAAGGTCAAGAGCCTAGCCTAGCCCCATTTCCCCAAGAGAGTGCCCAGCTGCGCTTACCTCCTCCTCGAGGCTGCTGCTGCTGTGCTCGCTCTCCTTGGCCAAGTTGCTCATGGTGTTGCGGGAGGGCAAAGTGTGTGGGTCAGAGGGAGGCCCACTCCCTCTCCGCGCGAGGAGACCCAGCTTTGTAACCAAAGCATCCTCAGCAATAGGATGGGAGACCACCAGAAGAGGTCAGGAGGAGGGGACAAGGGGATGGTGAAAGGACAGCAGGGCTGCTCGTGGCCAAGTGCTAAGGCAGGACTTCCCTCAGACCCTTTCTCCCTCTCATTATAATCTATCTTCCTTCCTTTCCCCCCTTTCTTCTTTTTCCTTCCCTCTTCATTCTCCTTTCCTTCTTCCTTCCCCTCTTTCCTTCTTTTTCCTGTTTGTCTTTCCTCTTTCCCTTTCTCCTTTCCTTCTTGGATGCTCAAGTGCAAAAGGGGAAACATTTCTAGATGCCTCTTTGCCTTGTGATCAAATGCCACTTTTGTGGCCATTTAAAAGACTGAGAACAAACCAGGCTCAGTTTATCCCATGCTTGCATTTAGTGGGGGCGTCCACAAACAACAGTACAGCAGAACTGTCAAAATGGTGGCTGTGACAATTGATCAGAGTTTCTCTGTTTTTTATGTGCAACAGCTTTAGCATTTAGGAACAGAGGTAAGTTAGTTGCTTTTCTATTAATACATAATTCTTTAAAAGAGCTCTCCTACAGGGACCCTGCCATGGTCTAATTCAGACTGGAAATATAGCAAAGGAAGATACTTCCCCCCTACTCTGCTTTGTCCTGTTTTCTCCACTGGAAATGACTGTTAGCAGCACACAAGGAGGGGATACTTTCCTAAGAGCTCACAATTCAAGAATACCAGTGTTAATTTGGATTGCTAATAAAGTCCTGTCTGTGACAAAAGAGAACACAAAATTGTTTGTCCTTTGAGCCCAAGTCTCAATGGATCCAGGATTGAAGCAGAACTGCGTGAACTAGGGCATCTCCAACCAAGTTGCTTCTCCTTCCTTCCTTTTTTCCTTTCTTCCTTTTTTCCTTCCTTCCTTCCCTGTCACCCTCTCTTCCTTCCTCCCTCCATTCCTCCCTTCCCCCATCTTCCCTCCCACCCTCCATTCCTTTCTCTCACCCTCCATTCCTTCCTTCCTCCATTCCTCCCTCCCTTTTTTCCCTCCCTCCCACCCTCTCTTCCTCCCTCCTTCCATTCCTTCCTTCCGTTCCTTCCTTCCTCCATTCGTTCCTTTGCATTCTCATCTCTTTCCTTCCTCCATGCTCAGGAAGGGGTGATGGGAGAGAGACAGATTGCCAGAGATTGCTATCTCACGTGGGCGGGTGGGAACTGTCCTGGTGAAAGAAACGCCTCATGGCTGCCAGGCTGGAGGTGCTGGTGGGAGGGGTGGCGGTGCTGATCTTCAATCTGGTTGCATCCATCAAAGCTGAAATGCGCTCCACGGGGCATCCCCACCCTGCCTCCTGTGTCCGTGTGCATGCAAGCAGAGTCTGGCATCCCTGCTGGCTGTCTTGCCCTGCAGGCTGACTTCACCCAGGATTCTGGGGCTGCTCCGGTGCTGCTCCATGGCTGCTCTATGGAACCTTCATTCCTTCTGTCCTTCTCATGTCTTTCCTTCCTCTGTGCTCAGGAAGGGGTGATAGGAGGGGGAGAGTTTGCCAGCGCTGCCATGCAGCTCAGTCCATCAAAGCCAGAACACGCTCAGCCTTAATCCTGGAACCAGCAAGGAGCTGCCCCACCGCCTCTGCCCTGCCACCCAGGTGTGCACACAGGAGACGGCCAGCACCGGCGTCCTGGGTGAAGTCAGCCTATGAG